ATACGTGTCACATACATATATATTATATACACATATATAACAAATACCAAAAGTATCCTGCCCGCACGGCAGAGTCTGGCAAACTTCCCGTGTCGTTCTCAATATGTCAAATGCCAGTAACAATGATGGGTCTCATTCTCCTAACCCTAAAAGAGCACTGAAATGGCTCTTTTAAAATCTCAGGGCTAGGAAGAGGAAGACGTTACTGGTGCCTGCTCGAGGCAATCGAGGAACAACAGGATGCTCGTGATTGTGATATAACAAATACTTTCTCCCACTCTATAGCTTTTCCCTTCTTGGTTTCGTAGCCCTCCCCTCCCCCCTCTCCTCCCCTCCCCACCCCTCCCTCCCCTTCTCCTTCACCCTCCCCTCCCCTCCCCTCCCCTCCCCTTCCCTCCTCTTTTTCCTTTCCTTGTCTATTTTTCTTTGCTTGTATGTTTCTCCTGGGGGGCTACTTCCAGCATGGGGCTCAGGGGTCAGTGCTGATGATGCTCAGGGGACCTCGGGAGGCGCTGGGGAGTGAACCTGGGCCCCCCACGGAGCTCCAGCCCTCTGAGAGGTTTCTTTGGAAGCACAGGCCTGTTTTCCTGGGCCCGGGGGAGGGCTTGGTGCGTAGGAGCCTTTGAAGGGGCTCGGCCCTCACACGCAGATCTGCGGTCAGCTTGTGAACAGCTTGTGAGGGAGCCGTCAGCCTCTACAAGTGCGCTGGCCGCAGCCCAGCTCCTCACCCTGGCGTCAGCCCCAGAGGCTGCCTCAGCCCCACTCCTGCCCCGGTTTCTGGTTCTGGAGAGTCCCTCAGACCCACGGATCCATTCACCGGAGAACCACCTCTGGGGGCGGGTCACCTGGGATAACTGTGCCAAGACACACCCCTGTGAGGGATAGTTTTCGACAAGAGGCTTCCGGTGAGCTGGGCAGACACACAGAAGGTTCCAGAACCTTCTGGCTGCCCATCAGCTCACCTGACATGTCCATCTCCATCTCTGCTTGCTCTGACTCGACCTGTGTTCAGGGGTTGGAGGAAGCAAAGGAACCAGTGACAACATTAAGAAATCCAGAGGTTGCAGGCTGGAGAGGAGGTCACAAGGGCCCGTGCTTGCTCCCTGCCCCCCCCCCACACCCCCCCATCCCCCCATCCCCCACCAGGAGCAGCCTCCAGGCAGGAGGGGAGAGTAGCCCTGAGCATTGCTCCAAAAGAACCTCCTAAAATGTTGTTTATTCCTTTCTTTTTGAGTCACACCTGGTGGTGCACAGGGGTTCCTCCTGGCTCTGCACTCAGGAGTTACCCCTGGCGGTGCTCAGGGGACCAGATGGGATGCTGGGAATTGAACCCGGCTCCGCTGCGTGCAAGGCAAACGCCCTACCCGCTGTGCTATCCCTCCAGCCCTCCTAAAGTGTTTTTAAACAGTCCCGTGAAACTCCAGCTTCTGCGTTTCAGTTTTTTCTTCCCTTCCCTGGCCGGGGCGGATCTGCGGCCTCTTTCAGGCGGGCACAGACCCCACAGTGCCGGATTCTCCATTCTCCGTTTTCCTGGGGGCGCGGGGAGAGGTTGGGCCGTACTCAGGGGCGACTCCCAGCTCGGTGGTCGGGGTGGCCTCAGGCCAGTGTCCTCCCCCTGCTTGCCCCCTTGGGTGCTGCATTTCCAGAGCAGTTGGCGCAGCTGAAGCCACCGTTCCCCCCCCCCCACCGCGTCCCCCAGAGCTTTAGCCACGACTCTGGGTTGCAGCTGTCCACCTCAGTGACCCTTCCTTCCGTCCCTGTACCCCACACTCCTAGAAGCCCCGGGGGCCGCGGGCCGGCCACCCCAGGCTTCCTGCCTCTTGTCTCGCCCAGAGGCTGAGCACGTGAGTGGCCAGCTGAAGGCTGAGGCCGGGGTCAGCCCACGCCCACAGATCCGTCCCGTCGGCGATCTGCCCAGCACCCCTGCAGCCAGCTGGACGCACTGGGACTCTGCCATCGTCCCCACTGCCCTGCACGCCTGGATGCTTCTGCGTTCTCAGATGAGAGCCAAAGAGCCAGCGTTTCCCATCTCTGAGCACAACCGGGTGGGGGGTGATCTGGACCGGGGAGTGGTGGGTGGGGCCCAGGAATGTGGGAGAGTGCCAGACTTCACTCTGCACAGAAGAAAACAAAAGATGTGCTAAGGATGTGGGAACTGTTTTTAATGCTTTTTTTCCCCCAGAGGGATCTTATTTCTTATTTCAGTGTGTGTGTGTGTGTGTGTGTGTGTGTGTGTGTGTGTGTAGGGTGTGGTACTAGGGCCTCACACGTGCAGGCAAGCACTCTAGCACTGAGCCACATCCACAGCCTGTATTTTCACTGTCCTCCCGTTCATCGATTTGCTCGAGTAGGCCCAGTAACGTCTCCATTGGAGACTTTGTTGTTACTGTGTCTGGCATATCGAATACGTCACGGGGAGCTTGCCAGGCTCTGCCGTGCGGGCGAGATACTCTCGGTAGCTTGCCGGGCTCTCCGAGAGGGGCGGAGGAATCGAACTCGGGTCGGCCAGGTTGGCTGTGTGCAAGGCAAACGCCCTACCGCTGTGCTATCGCTCCAGCCCTGTATTTTATTGATTTGTTAATTTATTTTCGGTTTGGGGGTCACACCCCATAACGCTAAGTGGTTACTCCCGGCTCTGCACTCTGAAGTCATTCCCAGCAGTGCTCTGGGGACCATATGGGACGCTGGGGTCAAACCAGGGCTGGCCACGTGCGAGGCAAGTGCCCTCCCCGCGGTGCTGCTGACAGGCAACCACTAGCCCCTGGCCCTATTTTATTTAGTTTTGCTTTTTTTTTAATGACTGTAATTACTTCTTCTTGTCCCAACTACAGAACTGAGTTCTCATTACTGAAACTGGGGAAATACCAAAGCCAATAAACACTGCCCAGTGCCCGGGGTTGTCTCCCGCCGGAGTCCTGTCTGCTGTGAATCTAATTCCACGGGGATGTTTTCCATCTCATTACTGCCGCTCCTCAAATGTGATTATCAGGGGCAGTCACCGTCTCTCCCGTACTGCATTTCGTTCCTGGATGTTGGACTATCCCCCGCAGATAACGCTGCCGTCAGCATCTCTGTGTGTCTTTTCTTGTTGTTGTTGTTGTTGGTTGGGGGTCCCCAGCAGTGCTCCGGGCTTACTCCAGGCTCTGTGCTCAGGGATCACTCCTGGCAGTGCTCAGGGGAACAAATGCAGTTCCAGGAAGTTAATCCAGGTTGACCACATGTAAGGCAAGTAGCCTGCCTGCTGCCTGCCGCTAGCTCTCCAGCCCGCCCACCCCACCCACATAAGTCTTTATTTATTGTCTGAGTTATCCGGGATGAAAGTCCTTCCTCCCCTCCCCTTCCGTGCCCTGCCTCTCTTCCCTTTCCTTCCCCTTCCCTGCCCTGCCCTCCCTCCCCTCCCCTCCCTTACCCTCTCCTCCCCAGCCCTCCATGCCCTAAGGTCACTTACCATTTTGTGGGACAGGGCAGCTCAAGAAAGGACGATGTGGCCACAGGAAGTGGAGAGAAAAGGGGGTGTTAGACTGGGGGGCTGGGACACAGTGAAGAACAACTAAAAGCCTCAAGACTGGAGCCATGGGATAGCGGGGAGGGTGCTTGCCTTGCATGCAGCTGACCTGGGTTTGAATTCCGGTACCCCATAGGGTCTCCCAAGCACCGCTGGAAGTGATCCCTGAGCACTGAGCCAGGAGTTAGAAGGCCTGAGCACCACTGGGTGTGGCTCCCCCATAAAACGCTTCAAGACAAAAGGTTGTGGCTGAAGTGGTCACACATGTGCTGGCCTGTGCGAGAGGTCCCGGGTTTGATCCCCAGCACCCTGGTTCTGACACCCCTGGAGGGGACCCCCCACGCTGAAAAATAAATGCAGATATGTGCATAGACACACATAAACAAAAACAAAAATCGAAGGAGCGGGGTGGGCACACCAAGGCACTAATGACCCTGGACATGCCCCCCTCCCCCCCAAAAAACACACCTTTTAGCTTTTAGGACCTTCTGGCCCCTGCTTCGCCCAGGGACCCCCGCCCTCCCCCCCTCCCTGACCGTGGCCCCAAGCTTTTAGCCTTTCCTCAGCCTTAAGTCCTGTTTTCCCTCCTGGGGCGCGTCCTCGCCCTCACACTGACCCCACACTGCCCCCTTCCGGCGATGTCACTGCCTCCTGCCCTAACCGTCACACCTGGTGACATCCTGAGAGTGAGATAAACCGTGGTTGAAGTGGCTGCTTCTCTGTCTCTGCTGCCTGGCAGGTGCTGGGGAAGGAACACTCTGCCCACTGTGGCTTCCCGGGGTCGCCGCGGGTCCCGGGAGTGAGGGTCCCTGCCAGGGAGGCAGCTGCTCCGACCTCAGGTTCCCAGACCTTCCCATGATGTGGGCCCTCCTCGTGACCCCCAAAGGGCTGCAGCTGCTCCGTTCCTTCTAACTCACCTTCCAGCCAGCTGGGAGGGTCGAGGAAAGAGCATGCTCTTCCCCCAGGGCTGCTCTCGACCCGTCGCAAACTTCATTTCTGTGTCCGTTTCTTTGGAACTTAGTCATGTGATCAAGTCCAGCTCCACGGAGCTTGGGGTCAGGGTTTGCAGTGCCCAGTAGTGATAGACTCAGCCAAAAAGCACTGTGTAGCACTGTCCTCCCGTTTTTCATCGATTTGTTCAAGCGGGCCCAGTAACGTCTCCATTGCGAGACTTGTTGTTACTGTGTTTGGCATACCGAATGTGTCACAGGGAGCTTGCCAGGCTCTGCTGTGCGGGCGAGATACTCTCGGTAGCTTGCCGGGCTCTTCGAGAGGGGCGGAGGAATCGAACCTGGGTTGGCCAGGTCTGCCGCGTGCAAAGCAATTGCACAACCCGCCGGGCTATCGCTCCAGCCAAAAAGCAGAAGTTGGTTTCTGAAGAAAAGCAGAATCAGTGGGGACAGCTGTGTGCTGGTGCGTCTCTGCAGGACCCGGGAGGTCAGCAGGGACTGCCCACGGGGACAGGGCAGAAGCTACAGGACTGGGATAAGGGAGCATGCCCTGTGCCTCGGACCCCGAGCGAAGCCTGTCTGTCGACCCTGGCACCCCCAGCTGGGAGCTGTCGTGTTTTAACTGCACGATGCAGGTGAGGGAAATGAGGCTGGTTCAAGGACAGTCAGCCCAGCAGCTGGGGGAGAAATGGGCTTATCGCCCTGGCTTTACCTCGTCGGGGCTTCCTGTTTGTCTGGGGGTGACACTGGACAGCGCCCAGGGGACCACCCAGGGCCGGGGTCAGAGCCTGGCACTACCGCATGCAAGGTCTATGGTGCAGCCCACAAGCATCTCCTGATGCCCTCGGAACCGCCGTCCTGGTCCATGAACCTGAGACGGAGCGACGCTTCCCGGGAGACCTCTGGCAGCTGGAAGGAAACAGAGGGGGAGGGGAGAGGCTGAGCCCCCGGGAGCCTCCCTCCCAGTGCGGGGCCAGGGCAGAATCCCCCCCCCCCCCCCCGTGTCTAGAGACCCTGCCATTGCCCCTCCCCCCCCTACACACTGGGAAAGCAGCAGGGTTTGTGCTCATGCTTGGGACTGGGCTCCAGCCGCTTCGTGCCCACCCCTCCCTGTGCCACTGCACACTCCCGGTGGCAGTTGGTGGCGTCCGCGGGCAAAGGCTCCCCTTGTCCTGAGTGGAGAACCGCATTCCAGGCTGGGCAGTGGATGGATGAGGCATGGGGGGGGAGGTGGCTGGACTTCAGCCAAGGACACCCGTGCCCTGCAGGACACAGCAGCACCTAGGGGCATTGGGGACTGTGTGTGGGCATGAGAGGGGACAGCAGGCAAGCAGGGGGTGGGGGCAACCCCAGCCATGGCAGCGCCGGACCCTCTTTACAGGCACCCATAGTCATGCCCGGAGCCGAGGGTGAGACCTCCCTGGGTTCTGGCTGCGTGAGCACTGCCCCTTGAGTGTGTCCCTCCCCCCAAGCCCCCAGCCTGAACTCATCTCTCCCTGGGAAGGGGTGTCCTCTGCACCCCTGGGGGGCATTTGATCACCGATGGCCGGGAGGGAGCGCTGGCCAACTGGCCAGCCCAGCGTCTGGCTCTGTAGCCGAGCCCCGCCCCCCCACCGGCCGCCAGCCCTGCCTGCCCCTGCAGGGGGCATGTTAGATTAGCAGTGGTGGCTGGAGCGACTAGCTAATGGCTCTGGAGCCAAGCCCTGACTCAGTGCCACAGCTGGCTCCCGGCACACCGCTGAGAAACGGCCTCGTCGGCTGCAGAAACTGGCCCCACTGTCTCAGCTGCAACCCAGTAGCCCTGGGAAGGGGAAGAGAGCAAGTAGTGAAAACTTGGGGGGCTCCTCCAGAGGGCCAGACACCCCCAGAGCTCGCCCCTCCTCTCCTGCCCCTGGGCCCCGAGCCTGAAAAGGTGGGGGTGGGGTGAGGGGCCGCCTCTGTCCCGCCCCAGGCCCTCCCAGCCTCTGTGCGCTTGCTGTGCCCCCGCGAAGGCGGCTCAAAACATGGGCAGGCGAGCACCCGGGCGCTGTGGGCAGGCACCGTGGGCTCTGGGTGCGAGGAGCAGGACCCTCACATCCCTCCACACTCGCCAGCCCCGGATGCTGCAGGGTGGGGGCAGTGGCCTAACCCCCGAGAGGCCTGAGTCCTTCCGGGGGGAGACCAGGAAGGGCTGGCCGGTCCAGGATGGGGCCCCAGGCTTGAATCCATCTTCGGCTGTCCCTCTCCGCGTCCTTCTGGGTTCTCTCTGGTCCTCCAGGCCAGTGGGGAGGTGGGTGCTGAGTGGGACAGGAGGGAGCTTCTGGCAGGTGACTCGGAGCCGGGCGGTGTCTTCCTGTGGCAGCCCCTCTGGGGGTCCTGCCCGTGGGCTCCTCGCTTTGGACCGGGTTGCTGAGCTGCCAGGGGTTTCTGCAGCGAGTCTTAGTTGGATTCACTCTGCCTCTCACGCCTCATCCAGCGGGTGGTTTTGGCCCTTGTCCACGCTCATCCTCGGGCAGAAAGAGGGGAAAGTATGCCGCGATGGTGGGGAGGGGAGAGGTGGGCCGGGGCTGCGTTCATTTCCCCAACACGTTCTTGAGAAAACGGGGAATAAAGCAGCGATGCTGGAACACAGAGCCCCCTCCCCACCCAGCCCTGCCCAGCCACAAGTGGACAGTTCACTTTCTTGTTCTCCTATTTAGTTCTGTGGCTTGGGGACCACACCTGGCGGTGCTTGGGGGTTACTCCTGGCTCTGTGCTCAGAGGGACTGTGCAGTGCCGGGACCGTGTCGACTCAACTTTGCTCTCACGAACCATCACCCAACTAAGTTTGGTTTTGTTTGGGGGCCACACCTGGCAGTGCTCAGGACGTACTCCCATTTCTGTGCTCAGGGATCACTCCTGGCAGTGCTCTTGGGGTTGAGCCCAGATCAGCTCCTTGCAAGGCAAATGCTCTCCCTGCTGTCCTCTCTCTCTGCCCCATCCAGCTCAGATTTGGTTCATTTAAAGTAAATCTCAGGGGGCTGGAGTGACAGCACAGCAGGTAGGGTGTTTGCATTGCACGCGGCCGACCCAGGTTCGATCCCCAGCATCCCATATGGTCCCCCAAGCACCGTCAGGAGTGATTCCTGAGTGCAGAGCCAGGAGGAGCCCCTGAGCATCGCTGGGTGTGACCCAAAAAGGAAAAAACAAACACAAAAACAATAGAGTAAATCTCAGGCACTAGGAGGCATCGCCCCTGATCACTAACATGCAATAGTACATTTTAAAGGTTTTTTGGGGAAAAAAAGCTGATGTATATTGGTTTAAAACACTGCAGAATTTGGGGCTGGAGAGATAGCACAGCGGGTAAGGCGTTTGCCTTGCACGTGGCCGACCCAGGTTCGATTCCCAGCATCCCTTATGGTCCCCTGAGCACTGCCAGGAGTAACTCCTGAGTGCAGAGCCAGGAGTAACCCCTGTGCATTGCCAGGTGTGACACTGCAGAATTTCAGGGGTATAGAGTTCACTGCACCCCACCCAAAGACCGGTGCCCTCACACCACCATAACCTAACGTCTGTGTTTTGGCTTGGGCGTGTGTGTTCAGGATCGCGCCCGGCAGTGCTCAGGGGCTACTCCTTCTTGGCAGTTGCTCCCCCCGTGCTCAGGAGACCCGCCACGCTCTGACATACAAACATGCTTCCTTGCATCGCCTGGTCCTGAAGTTTTAATGACAAAAATCTGGACCTCTGGGGTTCGAGGAATAGTGTAGCAGGGAGGGCGCTGGCCTTGCACGTGGTCGGCCTGGGTTAACTCCTCAGCACCTCATACGGTCCCCAAGCCTCGCCAGGAGTGATTCTGGAGCACAGAGCCAGGAGTCAGCTCTGAGCACCTTCAGCCAGGTGTGGCCCTGAACACATAGCCAGGGATAAGCCCTGAGCAGCAGCGCGTGAGCCAAGATCCACCCAAATCATACAAATTTAGCCAGATATGCGAGAGTTTATATGACTCTGTCTTTTATCGTTTGTTTGGGGGCCACACCCAGCAGTGCTCAGGCTGACTCCTGGCTCAGTCCTCTGAGGTCACTCCTGTGGGGTTCAGGGAACTATATGAGATGCCGGCGAGTGACTCTATCTTAATGCAAAAAAATGGTTTTGCTTCATGAGTGATGAGCTTTATATTGTTAGTGTTTCTCCATTTTCTTTATTTTTTACTATTTTTTTAATTGAATTACAGTGAGATACACAGTTGCAAATGTTCATGTTTGGGTTTCATCATACAATGTTCCGACACCCGTGTACATTCACCAGTGTACATTTCCCACCACCAATGTCCCCAGTTTCCCTCCCACTCCCCCATCTCGCCTGCCCCTATGGCAGGTACTTTTCTCTCTCTCTCTCTCTTCTTTCTTTAGACTCAAGTCACTGGTGGATAAGCTGTGAAAACCTAAACACCCCCAAAGTCAGGTTCTCGTTTTGGGGGGGTTTGAGACCACACCCAGAAGCTCCCAGGGTCCTCCCGCTCACTCCCAGTAGTTCTTGGAGACCACGCGGTGCTGGGACCACAGCCTGTGTGCACTCTGCCAAATGAGTATCCCCCGGGCTGCCCGGGTTTGACCCGCTGCATTGACTGGGAGGAGGAGGAGGGGAGAGGAGGAGGAGGAGGAGAAGGAGGATGAGGAGGAGGAGGAGGAGGAGGAAGAGGACTCACTGCATTGACTGGGAGGAGGAGGAGGAGGAGGTGCAGGAGGAGGAGGAGGAAGAGGACCCACTGCATTGACTGGGAGGAGGAGGAGGAGGAGGCGCAGGAGGAGGAGGAGGAGGAGGAAGAGGACCCACTGCATTGACTGGGAGGAGGAGGAGGAGGAGGAGGCACAGGAGGAGGAGGAGGAGGAGGAAGAGGACCCACTGCATTGACTGGGAGGAGGAGGAGGAGGAGGAGGAGGAGGAGGAGGAGGTCGATGTTTGCAGAGGCTGCAGGTGCCTTTCACAGTTTGGTGGCAGAACCTTTTTCTGAGCGGAAGCGTCAGATAACGAACATGTTCCCCCTGGTCAGACCTTGTTCCGTGAGAGGCCCTCTCTTTGGAGGACGTGCCTGGACCCGCTTGGGGTCTCTGAGTTTCTGGAAACCCCCTTACCGTCAGGCTTGCTCTTGTGCAAGGACAAAAGCCTGTATCAGCCACCTAATACGTTGCTGGTGGTGTGTACCATGGGTGGCTCACACGCGGAGGTGGCTGTCATGAGCGCAAATCGTAGTCCCGGTGTCAAAGCATTTTAAGCCAAAAGTGTTTGGTGGTTGCCCCTGATAACCAGACTAGGGGGAGAAGGTCCGGAAGCTTCTTGAGGGCAGAGTCTGAGACGCCTCGGTGGTTTTCTTGGCCTTTCCCGATGGGCCCCAGATGCTGCCGCAGCTCCAGGCGACACTTCCTGTCAGGAGGAAGCGGGCACGGAGACCTTTTTTGTCAGGGAGCAGCAGTGTCTAGAAGCCCGCCTCTGCACCTTAAGTGACGTACGTGTCACCATATGTTCATCCCGGACCACAGCTGAATCCAGCCCCCTGCACCCTAAGTGACATACGTGTCACCACATGTCCACCCCCAGTGCCCAGTGGACAAAGGGAGGAGGTAGAGACGGAAGGAGAGAGGGAGGGAGGGAAAGAAGGAAGGAGGGAAAGAAGCAGAGGGAGGGGAGGAGGGAAGGGGAAGACAGAGAAGGAGGGAGGGAGGGAAAGGACAGAAGGACGGAGGGAGGAAGGGAGGGCAGGTGGGGGCCGGAAGCCGTCCAGGTGAGTGTCGGGGGTCGCAGCACAGAGACGGGAGCTACCTGGGGGCCTGAGGCAGGGGACGGGCCGTCCCGGCTCCCCTCACCCGTGTCTTTCTTCCCAGGGACCGCACCACGGCTGGGACCTGTCTTCCACCCACGGGTCCTCCAACTCCTCCTGCGTGTCCGCCGATGCCCAGATGTGTGAGAGGAACCAGACCACGACGACCAGCTTCCGGATGCTGCCGCTGGCGGTCGTCCTGAGCTTCGTGTCGCTGGCCACCGTGGGGCTGAACGTGCTGGTGTTGTACGCCGTGCGCAGCGAGCGGAAGCTGCACACGGTGGGGAACCTCTACATCGTCAGCCTCTCGGCCGCCGACCTCATCGTGGGCGCCGTGGTCATGCCCATGAACATCCTTTACCTGACCCGCTGCCACTGGTCGCTGGGCCGGGAACTCTGCCTCTTCTGGCTGTCCATGGACTATGTAGCCAGCACGGCGTCCATCTTCAGCGTCTTCATCCTGTGCATCGACCGTTACCGCTCCGTGCAGCACCCGCTACGGTACCTCAAGTACCGCACCAAGACGCAGGCGTCGGTCACCATCCTGGGCGCCTGGTTCCTGGCCTTCCTCTGGGTCATCCCCATCCTGGGCTGGCGCCGCTTCCGGCCCGACAGCTCGCCGCTCCGCGAGGAGCGCTGCGAGACGGACTTCTACGACGTCACCTGGTTCAAGGTCATGACGGCCATCGTCAACTTCTACCTGCCCACGGTGCTCATGCTCTGGTTCTACGCCCGCATCTACAAGGCCGTGCGGCGGCACTGTCAGCACCGCAACCTGGCCAACGGGGCGCTGCCCTTCTTCTCCGAGAGGACCCTGCGGGCTCCGGGCCCCCGGCCGGCCCGCGAGTCCCCCTGGGCCTTTCTGAAAAGGAAGTCGGGAGACGCCACCACCACCACCACCACCGGCGAGGACCCGGGCTTGGTGTCCACTCCGCCCGGAGAGCCGGAGGGGACGTCCCCTGGGTTCAGTGACCCGGACGGGGACGCGGAGGCTGATCCACGCCACTGTCTCCCGCTCAGCCCGGTGCCACCCACGCAGCCAGCATCCGCCGACGGGGCCCACCGGGGCCAGTGGCAGGACAGTGGCGAGCCGGGCTCCGGGGCCAGCGAGGCGCAGGAGGACCAGGTGCTCGGGGACGGCCAGTCTTTCTCCAGGACCGACTCGGACCCCTTCACCGAGCAGGGCCCCGACAAGGGCAAAGCGCGGGGCCGGCCGAGCATGAGCCTGGACTACCTCAAGTTCACCTGGAAGCGGCTGCGCTCCCACTCGCGCCAGTCCGTGTCGGGGCTGCACCTGCGTCGGGAGCGCAAGGCCGCCAAGCAGCTGGGCTTCATCATGGCGGCCTTCATCCTCTGCTGGATCCCCTACTTCATCTTCTTCATGGTCATCGCCTTCTGCGAGAGCTGCTGCAACAGCTACGTGCACATGTTCACCATCTGGCTGGGCTACATCAACTCCACGCTCAACCCCCTCATCTACCCCCTGTGCAACGAGAACTTCAAGAAGACGTTCAAGAAGATCCTGCATATCCCCTCTTAGGCGGCCGCCGCTGGAGAGGCCCCTTGGGATGCCCACGGGAGGGCACCGTTGGAGGAGGAGGCCCGTGGGAGCGCCAGGCACCTGAGCTCTCGGGCGGCGTCCGAGGGACGGTCTTGGCTGTAGACAGGGAGTTTGGAAAGTTCTCGGGCGCCTTTGGAGGGGGGAGTGGAGGGCAGGGAGCTGACGAGAGAATTGACTCCGGCTCAGGAGATGGGGAGACCCCCCCCAATACACACACATACATACACGCTCGTTGGCGTTCAGGTTTCAAGCTCAGATGGCGTGGCCGCGGAAGGGACATGAGGAAGAGTTCCACTGGGCAGTCAGACAGAGCCTGGACCATTCCAGAATGAGCTCTGAGACCGCAGAGACCTCCCTCCTGCAGGCAGACTCTGGAGGGCTTCCTGCAGCTCAGAACGGCCTTTCTCTGCTCCTGTCTAGTGCTCCATCCCGCCGACCCACATCTGAGCCCCCCCCCCCCTCCAGTCTCAGTCCTCCTGCCTCAGTGGGCTTGGTGGGAAATGGCGCAGCCTGGTGGCCAGCGCTGCCAGCCCCAAATCCAAATCCCATTTGGCTATTTGAGAGAGAGAGAGAGAGAAACAGAGAGAAAGAGAGACAGAGATGGAGGGAGGAAGGAGAGAGAGGGAGGGAGGGAAAGAGAGAGGGAGAGAGGGAGGGAGGGAAAGAGAGAGGGAGAGAGGGAGGGAGAGAGAGAAGCTATCTCTATATCATGCTTGCACATTTACAGATAAGAAGGAAAAGGGGGAGGCCACATGTCTCCAGGGTTCTGCCAAGTGTGTCTCGCTGAGCCCCCTGCCCTGCCATGCCCCGAACATGGAGGTGGTATGTAACAGCTAGAATGACAGCCCCCAGGGGCCCAGCACACCGCAACCCATATTCTCTAGAAGGCAGTTTTTTTTCCTATCACACACACACACACACACACACACACACACTGGTGGCAAGTCTCAAAGGAGTATCTCGACAGCAGGCCAGAGTGTCGTTTGAACAGTCACTGTGCATCTGGGTCGGTGAGTCGGGCTAGGTAAAGGTAAGGTAAAGGCCCTCCCGTTGATCGTCGATTTGCTCGAGCGGGCCCAGTAACGTCTCCATTGGAGACTTTGTTGTTACTGTGTCTGGCATATCGAATACTCTCGGTAGCTTGCCGGGCTCTCCGAGAGGGGTGGAGGAATCGAACTCGGGTCGGCCATGTTGGCCGCGTGTAAGGCGAACGCCCTACCACTGTGCAATCGCTCCAGCCCTGCTTGTCAAAAATGCACATTTTCCAGCCAAAGCTTCTTAAGTTAAAAACTTAAGCTGCAGTGTCCTTGTTCTCCAGCCTGCAGTCCAGCGATGGTTGCTATTTAGCTGTGGACAGCACTCCACCATCCAACACAGATACGAGTGTTTGCACAAACCGTGTGTCTTGGGTTTGCACAAGCCAGGCTCTTTGTCGTTGAGATATTTTTGTCCACCGGAATCTCCACGTTTGTAGCCATGCTTGTGACAAGGTGACCTTGTATATAGCTCCCTTCCTCAATCCTGGGCCTGGGAAGTGCCAAGAAATGTCCTGACAGATGTCCCCCGAGCCGTTGTGGAGTTTCTCTTCACCTCTGTCAGTCAGCTGTCCAAGGACTGACTTTGTCTAACAAGCTGTATTCTCGGCTTTCGTTCCCCAGAGGTCTTGCCGGCGACTTGATCTCTCAGGAGACTTGGATTCTGGTTGGAGAAGCTACGGTTGGTCGGTTCCCCGACGAGAACACATTTCCCAGAAGCCATATAATAGCCAGTGTCCTGGGGATCCCTCAGCACCAACGCACCCCTACAGAGATTACCCCACATCCACGAAGAATTCCACGTCCCATTTGGGTATCTGTGGAAGTTGGGGTGACCCATCAGCTCCTTCCTGGAGTCAGAGAGACCCCCAGACAGCATCATGGGAGAAGTAGACCATCTCTTGCTGCTGGCTGGAACCCCATGGTTTACATGGTGGCTTCCGGCACGTTGTGGGAACTCGTAGTTTGTGTTAGAGTACCAGGGCCTGGATTATGTGCCTGGCTTCATGTTGCCCAGCCATTGTCTGGTGGACCCTTTATAACCAGCGCAGAGGGTGGGGATTGTTCCCACCAACAGGCTCGGGGAGGCAGGGCAGTGACGACCCTTTCCCGTCCTTCTTCCCAGCTGCTCTTCTGCTCACCCACGTGGGTGGCATCAGGGCCTGGAGTGCTGAAGCAGCGGCCGTGGCGCAAGGCCCTTCTGGAGCACAGCAATAACGCTGTTCGTGTCCGTGCCCAGGGTCATGTGCAGCCTTGCTGCCCGACTGTTGAATCAGGTCCTTCTCGGCGGGGGGCTGTAGAGGCCCTGGGGGTCGAACTCTGAAACTTTAGCTGGTTTCCTTAGTTGAGTTTAAGCTGCTGAGCTAGAATCCCCTTTTCCCCCAGGACTGATTGGCCCATTTACCAAGCAGGGCCTTCTTGGTAGCGGGTTAGCAGTGCTGTAGGGAGGACACTTTCAAGTCTGCTTGCCACGTGGCTGCGAAGGGATGGGAACGGATTTTCCTGGTCCTTCCGAGCTCCTAATTCAGCATCCATGACTGGAGCCACCAAGGGGCAGAAAGGGGAAGAGGGAGAGGGGAGAAATATGGAGAGACAGGGAGCAGAGGGCTGGAGAGGAGGGACTGAGGAGTGTTGGGGTCACTGGGGCAGAAGGGAGAGAAGGAAGATGATGGACACAGGACAGGGGTGATATGACAGGCCCGGGGTGGAGGGATGAAGGATGCTCAGAGGGGTCAAACCCAGACACCGAGGAGTGGAAAGGGGCTAGAGACGTGGGAGCGGAGCGGAAAGAGCGACGTGGTGTAACAGTCACCCCGAAAAAGCCTGTGCCCACGGAGGGCGCATGGATGAGATGGCCAGGCGCGCGACTTCGTGGGAAGAATGCATCTCCCTGGCTTTTTTTGCAAATAATGTTGCAGTCGGTGTGGTCTGTGTTTGCTCAACTATCAGCATCTAGAGGAGTTTTGTGGTTAAATCTAAAGCGGTTTCCCTGTTACGTTCGTTTTTTCCAATTCTTGTCATTTAGAAATGGGATATTGACTTGGAGGCAGCTGAACTGGGTCATCGCATGGGACAAGGATGGAAGAGAATGAGCTAATATGAGGAGTGGGGGATAAAATATTTATTTGGGGCCGGAGAGATAGAACCAGGGTTAAGGCACTTGCTTAGCTAAGCTCAGCTGTGTCAGCCACCACCCTGGTCTCCATCTCTGGTACCAGCTGCCCCTGAACACCAGCAGGGGTCATTCTTGAGCACAGAGCCAGGAGTAGCCCCGAACACTGCTGGGTGTGGTCCTACTCTGCCCTGAGTAGTTTACCTACAAAGGTAAACTACACTCGACCTGCGACCTGCGGGCTCCAGGTGTTGGGTAATGTTTTACTCAATGAGTTTTTGAGATGGCAGACTTTTACTTCTTTTTTTGTTGGTTTTGAGGCCCACACCTGGCAATGCTCAGGGCTTACTCCGGGCTCTGCATTCAGGAATCACTCCTAGTTGTGCTTGGAGGATGATATAGGATGCTGGGAATCGGACTTGGGTCAGCTGCGTGCGAGGCGAGCACCCTCTCTGCTGTCCAATTGCTCCGGCCGGCTTTGCCTTCTGTCTAGTCCTGCCTGTGGATCTTCCCTAATTAGTTTTATAACTCAGAAGTTTCTTTGTCTAGGTATGTCATAAAACTAATCTCCCTCTCTCTCTCTCCTGAGGTCATACCAGCCCACTAAAGGAGTTGGGTGTACTGGGGAAAGAGAGAGAGAGAGAGTAAAATGAAAGGAAACTGATAATCCAGTTCTACACATCGAAGCATCTTCAGAAGACAGGTCTGCCCGATGGGCATGTTGTTTCTGGGGTTCCCAGGCACAGAGGCAGTGAACCCCACATAGCAGTACTGCTGGGTGTGTCGCAAGCCTTCCTGTTTCCGCTCCAGGCTTTGCAGGACGTCGGAAGAACTCTGACTCAATGCGGGTCAATGCGGGGGAAAAAAAAAATCCAAAAATGTTTCTTCAGAGAGTCACATCCAAATCTTAGGGAAATTCAGGATTCCTGACAGTTTCCAGGCCCAAAGCACGGACTTCTGAAAATGAGGAGGAGGAAGACCAAAATATGATGTCCGCAAAAAGACACATTACTGATTCAGATTATTTTTCTCGTCTCTCCTCCCAGTCTACCAAAATAATCACAGTCACAGAGGAAGTTCACGTCTAATAAATGTGGCCCGTTGTTTCGCACGAGCACCGTAAGAATAGGAACCTCAGGTCACTTTCTATTCTGGGAGCCCCCACTGACCCCCGTTATTTGGCTGAGAGAAGCCTGCAGGAGAGGGCTGAGGACGGAGTAGGTGGTTCCTGCTTGGCGAGAGACCGAAATCTTGGCACCAGACAAGAACGACGTGGGCCTCTAGCCGCTGTGGCCCACTCTCAGTCTATAAGGAGCAAAGCTGCTCGAATTGCGTGTGCCAATCCATCAGCCCACGGGATCTGGGCTCTCAGAGTGTCTCTTAATTTGACATGGTTCCCCTTGGGAGGAAATGTGCTTCTCTCAGGGGAGCTGCAAGACAGGAGCCAAAGGTGCTTTGGCCCACAGTGCAGTGGGGAAGGCGCTGCCTTGCACAATGGCCAACCTGGGTTCAATTCTTGGCCTCCCGTAGAGTCCCCTGAGCCTGCCAGGAGTGAGCCCTGAGCATGGAGCCAGGAGTCAGCCCTCAGCACTGCCGGGGGTGTTCCCTCACCAAAACAACCACCAACATACGTGGGTTGGCCAATGTGGTAGTGAATGAGTGTCTCCCCCACCTCCCGCCCCCCTCAAATTGCATCTCTCTGGGTCACCATGTGCCCCATGGTCAGCCTGTCTGTCCTGGGCTGAGTCTTCTGCTCCGAACCTCCCCTGCGTCCCTGAGCAATCTTGGACTTTGCAGGTCCACCCCCGTCTGCTGGTTAAGGAACGGTGTCTGACACTGCACGGCCCCGGCTGTGGCCCAGGAAACAATGGCCAAACTGACCAGCCCACCGACAGCCCAGAGAGGCCCTCGCAGGGGATGGGACCCTGTGGGTGGCTGGGGGGTGTTCCCAATCTGGGATGCCTGCACCAAGTGACTCCCGGATTCCCCGAGGGTCAGAATTCGAGGCCGTGCCTTGTCAAAACTGCCATCAGCCCTCACCTGTGCCCCTGTGAGCATCGCCTGGACAGCCGAGCATTCAAGGTACAGGACCCCCCATGGTCGTGTGTACAGAGTCAAAGTGTAACGCTGTACTCCTGAAATGTGTGTCATCTTATAGACCAAAATGACTTCAATAAAAATCTAAAAAAAGAGAATCTTCCTGTGTTCTGTGTTCACTTCTGCTGTGTTTGGCTCCCAAGGGGTTGGGGTGGGGAGGTGGGGGGCAGGGCACTGTAGCACTGTGGCACTGTTGTCTCATTCATTGATTTGCTCGAGCGGGCACCAGTAACGTCTCTATTGTGAGACTTTTTGTTACTGTTTGTGGTATATAGAATATGCCACGGGGAGTTTCCCAGGCTCTGCCATGCGGGAGGGATACTCTCAGTAGCTTGCCGGGCTCTCTGAGAGGGGCGGAGGAGTTGAACCTGGGTGGGCTGCGTGCAAGGCAAACGCCTTACTTGCTTTGCTATTGCTCCAGCGGGGGGGGGGGGGGGGAGGGGGGGCAGTGCACACAGGGCTGGAATTCCCAGACAATTCCCAAACAGGAAATAATCCTCAAAGGGACAGAAGGGGCATCAGTTACAGGTTGGGGGTTGGGGTGGGGAATGGCATATAAAGTTCTAGCTGTAAGTTCTATGTCCACTTGGCCCAGCAAAGCCTGGCCGTGCGTGGGTGACATTTCTCCAGGTTTTTTGTTTTGTTTTTAAAATCAAGTTTACTTGTTAAGTTGGGGGGGGGGGAGAGATCCTTGCAAGGGCTGGAGCACTTACTTTGTCTGTGGGAGCCCTGGGTTCCGTCTCTGGCACTGCAAGTTTCCCTGACCAACGCTGGGAGGGATGAAAATGGTCAAAGCAATCCCAGCTTATTGCATTCAATACACATGGTCAAATGAACCCCACGTTAAACGCACAGCTGGGTGAGTGCTGACAAGGACAGGGAAGACTCAGAAAGTTTCTTTTTTTTTTTTTCCTTTTTGGGTCACACCCGGCGATGCACCGGGGTTACTTCTGGCTCATACACTCAGGAATCACTCCTGGTGGTGCTCAGGGGACCATCTGGAATGCTGGGAATCGAACCTGGGTCGGCTGCGTGCAAGAAAAATGCCCTACCTACTATGCTATCAGTCCAGCTCCAACTCAGAGAGAGGGTCTCTCCACGCCAAGGCTGTGAACTCCTTGATGTTCCAGGCAACCATGGGTCTGATGCCTGCCACAGAAGATTAGTCTCATGGATTCTAGAACGTTCCATAAGTGGGACGTGCGCTCTTGTGTTCTCTTCCCCACCCATCTTTTGTTTGAGATTCACCCGCATTTCTGCTGGCTTTTGATGACACAGAAAGGGTTTTGCAAGTAGAAGAATTGTGAGGATATGGCCTGGGGACAGAAAAGAACAGTGCTTGAGGCCTCCAAATTGTTCAGGGGGACCCCCGCTTGCGCCTGTGAGGGCCGTGGCAGGAGAGGAGCCTGCCAGAGAGTGAAAAGCTGACAGTGCTGACTTTGTTCTGAGCCCCCCTTCCCCCGTTCTTGTAAAATAGCTTGTGCCCTGCCGGTAAAGGTTGATGCAAAGAGATAAACATTCTACTTTGGCTTCAATCTGACCCATGATGCTTCTTGTTCGCCTGTGGCGAGACCCACCCCCAGCCTCTGACTCCTGGGTCCTTATAAATGGCTGAATAACTTGTCTCCTTCCATCAGCTGGAGCTTACAAACCCAACCTCAGGACGCTTCCCAGCTGCCTCGAGTCTCACTGCAAGCAGGTAACTATTCTCTGCTCTATTATCATGTCAGACTCTTTTTTTCCTCACCTTCCCACAGGCAAGCCTTTCAAGTCTCTTCAATCTTCCCTGCGAAAGAACAACTCTCTGCCTGAGCCTGGAGACACTTGCAGGCCTTTTAGTAAAAGCTCTTCCTTCGCCATTAGTCATTCCCCTCCCTGTCCGCGCCCCAGCGATGATCCTGGCGAGTAAAGTGTCTCTAGACTACAGCTGCATTTGTTTTCTCATTTGTCAGGGTCCAACTGGCTTCACTCCAGAACTTTAGTCCCACGGCTCTTAGCAAGCCACTTAATGGTGTCTAACCTCCGTTAGAGCATTCGTCAAGTAGAAATGATATATTGTTTATAAGTGAGAGGAGGGAACTCTAAAAATGGGGAAGGATCAATATGCCAGAGACATTACTCGTTTTCCTATTGTGGGGTGGGGTGGTGGCCTTTGTCCAGAGGAACTAAGATGAGGCACATGTGGAGGGAAGCAAAGCCGGGTCCGAGGGTGACAGTGAGACGTCCACTCTGTCGCGCAGAGCAGGCTGAGCGGAGCAGCTTCAGATTCTTGGAGGTCATGTGGCATGATAGTCTGAAGGGGGCATCCTGGGTGTCAGGGGGATGTGCTGGGGTGTCTGGATTCCTGGTGGTCCCGGTTGGCATACTCAGGTGGTCAGGGACTCTTGGCAGGTCTTTTTTTTCCTTTTTGGGTCACACCTGGCGATGCACAGGGGTTACTCCTGGCTCTGCACTCAGGAGTTACTCCTGGAGGTGCTCAGGGATGCTGGGAATCAAACTCAGGTTGGCCGCGTGCAAGGCAAACACCCTACCCCCTGTGCTATCTCTCCAGCCCCGGCAGGTCTTATTTTAAAATTCTTTATTTCTGTATTGGTTTAGGGGCCACACCTGGCAGTCTCAGGGGTTATTCCTGGCCGTGCTCCAGGGATCCTATGGGATGCTGGGGATCGAAACCAGGTTGGCCGCATGTGAGGCAAGGGCCGTCCCCACTGTCCTATGGCTCAGCCTTCTTGGCAGGTCTTGACTGGTGTGTGCAGGGTGTAGGACAGGACTCCTAGAGGCTGTTGATGGTTTCGGTTTCTCTACCTTCTATGGACGATCTGGGAGGGGTTGCCCACTGCAGCTAGGGCTGGCCGAAAAGCTCTGAGCTGATGTTTGCTGTTCCCCCCCACTCTCCTAATTTTCTATCTAACCTGCCTATATCGGAGTCGCTAGGTGAACGGTCTTACAAAATGATTGTTGAAA